GGCGAGGTGAGCCGGCGGCAGGGCCGTCCCCAGGGGCCCCGTTCCACTGACACGCACCCCTGCCCTCTCAGCCTCCCAGTCGCAGGGACCAGCATGTGACAGGACATGGAATCCCAAGCCCCAGGAGTCAAGAGGCTGCTCGGACCCTCGGGCTTCGCGCCCATCCCCTCGGGTCTGCACACAGCTGCCCCCAGCAGCACACCCCAACTCCCGCCTGGCCCCCGGGGTGCCTGGGCCAGGCAGGCTGCTGAGGGAGCCCCAGCTGGGAGCCAAGCCCACCACCTCCTGGCTCCAGCCGCAGGCCGTGCATGACCTTGGGAAGGCGCTGTGCCTCTCTGAGCCTCAGTTTTCACATCCATGGAATGGGGGTAAAGACACCTGTTCCCCGGTCACCACCTCCACCAGCCAGGCTCGGACAGCAGAAGGGGGGAGGGCTGCTGCCATTACTCCCTCGTTTCTGGATGGCGGGGTGACCTCAGAGAAGCAAACGGGCGCCGACATGAATTGAGCGCCTACTGTGTGCTGGGCGGGGCAGCTTGTGCTCAGAACTCAGAGCAGTCCCCTGAGGGCGCCCTGGCAAATTCTCCCGGCATCCTCCGGGAGCTGGGCCGAGACAGGAGGGCACCTGTGAGGCTCAGGCTCCTGTCTCGAGCTGCTACCCGCGTGACTGTTTGTTTGATGCAGTGAAAGTCACATCACATAAAGTTAAACATTTTAAAGTTCAGCACATTCACAGTGTTGTGCAACCACCACCTCTACGGAGCTCCCAGGCGTGGCCACCCCGCCCGGCGAGGTGAGCCGGCGGCAGGGCCGTCCCCAGGGGCCCCGTTCCACTGACACGCACCCCTGCCCTCTCAGCCTCCCAGTCGCAGGGACCAGCATGTGACAGGACATGGAATCCCAAGCCCCAGGAGTCAAGAGGCTGCTCGGACCCTCGGGCTTCGCGCCCATCCCCTCGGGTCTGCACACAGCTTAGCCACGGACCTGCGCCCGTTCCCGCGGCTCTGCCCGTGCGGACGCCGCAGAGGGACAGACTCACGCGACCTGGGCTGAGTCTGGCTCCTTTCACGCAGCGTCACTGGGCGCTGTGTTCTCAAGGGTCGTGACCTGGTAGCAGGTGTCAGTGTCTCGAGCCTTTTTAAGGCGAAGTAACGTCCCACCGTCTGGAGAGACCACCTCCGTCCGCCCCGTTAGCACAGCTGGGACAGGGCTGCCACAGACCTGAGGGCCCGGGTGTTTGTGTGAGTCCCTGTCTTCCGCTCTTCGGGGCTCACGCCCAGGAGTGGAATTGCTGGGCCGTCTGGGAGTTTGTTTAGCTTTTGGGGGAACCACCCAGCTGTTGTCCACAGAGGCTGCGCCCGGAGGAGAAGGGACAGCTCGCTGGGAGGAGGGGCATGGCTCGGCAGAAGTGCAGGCGACAGCTGGTTTCAGCAAAGGCCGAAGGGTGGGAGCGGGGGAGCCCCGAGGGGCCCCCAAAGCCGATGCCCATGGCCCTGTCCTCTGCCACGGCCTGCGGCCCTTTCCTGGGAGAGCAGCCAGGCACCCACAGCCGCCTGGAAAGTCCCCGTGTGGCCTGAGCCCACAGCACGTGCTGGGACCCGGACGCCAGACCGACACCCAATCCCCACAGCCCGCC